ACTCAGCACTGGTGAGGCCACACTTTGAGCACTGTATTCAGCAGGGCCCCTCACTCCAAGAAAGATATTGAGGTGCTGGAGCAGCTCCAGAGAAGGGCAGTGGAGCTGTTGAAAGGTCTGGTTCACAAGTCCTGTAATGAGTAGCTGAGGGAGCTGGGAGCTGGAGAAAAGGAGCTTCAGGGTAACATTATCATTCTCTACAACTGCCTGAAAGTAGGTTGTAACCAGGTGGGTATTTGTCTCTTCTCCCAGGTAACAAGTGACAAGACAAGAGGAAATGGCCTCAAGTTGTTCCAGGGAAAAAAACTCTTCACAGAAAAGGTGGTCAAGAACTGAAACAGGCTGCCCACAGGAGTGATGGAGTCACCATCCCTGGAGGTATTTAAAAGATGTGCAGGTGTGGTGCTTAGGGACATGTTTTTGTGGTGGATTTGGCAATTAATGGCTGGACTTGATGATCTTAAATGTCTCTTCTAATGAAAGTTTTCTGATTCTATGACTCTAGAAGGATGAGGGAAAAGGTAACAGCCTTATTTAAGATTAACCAAAATTTATAACCAATTTTTAGATGAACTGCAAGTTCAGATGAAGTGGTTTGATCAGTGGAACATAAAATTTTGCCAGGAGAAAATTATTAATCTGCCTCATCACATTGTATCATCAGGTACAGTCAGAACATTTTTAGGTGCCAGTTACTCTGGAGTCCCAGGGGTTTTGTTGACATCAGTTCTATATCTAGTTTTATAGTGGTGATTTTACCCACCTGTTTAGAAACAAACAAACAAACAAACAAAAAATCTTAGATAAAGCCTATTAAACTGAGTGTAATTTGGAGAGTTGTCAAATGTCTTTCTTCCCCCAGATCTGCCAGGCAAATATCTCTGTGATTAAAACAAAGAAAATAAATTAATCTCCGCCTTCTTATTACAATACAAAGTGCAAGCAGCCAGGAAACATGGCGCAAAACCTGATGGTACACAGTGTCCTTAGATCACTTGGCCATTGTTTTCTCTCACAGCAGCACATGTTAATGATACACAGAAGTTTAACATTTTTTGGCTTTGGCTTTTCATGTCATAACCATAATAAATGGGCATATTATTGTTTGTATTGCCATATCCTTTAGATGCACCGCCAATTTCTAGAGCCTGTTCATGCACAGCCAAGAACAGAATTTTGCCCACAAACAGATTGACTGAATAAAATTAGGCAGAAACATTGCCATACTGATTCATCTGTGAAGTAGTGTGTCACAGTACAGGATGTTTATGTTGTAAAAATGTTTTGTGGGTCAAATCTGCTGCAGGAAGACCAAAGCTTTTTTGCTTTTCACTTACCAATTTAATTCTGCTTTAAAAGGCCTTTATCCTATACAGACCTAAGAAATGCTTACTTGTATATATTTAAAAAACCCAACAACCTTCAAAACAATTAAATGGTTGACAGAATGTTAAATCCAGAAGAATATGAAGAAATAAACAGATTTGGGGTTTCTTTTGCTTATTTTAAGGAATTTGGACCACAGAGAAGAAAACTGAGTATGATGAAGAATGAAGAAACAAGTTTTAATGTGGACAATAGCAGAGCCTCTCCCTTCCCACTCTGCCTGCAGCCGCTCAGCCCCATTACAAAGCCACACAGAACAACTCAATTTGATGAAGAATTCAGAACACACCTCTCACATTTCTGCTATGGTCCTCCTCCTCTTGAAAACATGGAAACATTCCAGGGGTCCTTGGAAGGAGGGTCTCGTAAACGCAAGAGCATGCCAACAAAAATGCCTCCTCCCATCCCCCTTGAGGATTCCTCATCATCACCAGATCGACCTGAGGATCACAACGACATGGGCACTTCCAGTCTCCCCCTGGTGTTCCAACAGCCAGCGCAGCCCAAGTACAGTTCCCAGATGATTGACCTCTGCAACTTTGGTTTTCAATTCTACAGAACTCTGGAGCATTTTGGAGCCAAGCCCATTAAGCAAGAACCAGTGAAGCCGAACATGGCATGGCCCAGTAGCCCAACATTCATGCAGGCTCCTTACCCTTATTATCCTAAAGTCCACCCTGGCTTAATGTTTCCTTTCATTGTACCACCAAACTTCCATTTCAGGAGCCCTTTTCAAATGAAAAGATCTCCAGAACCACCCTTCAGGAGGGCTGAAGTAAGAGAAAGTGGTGAAAACAAACAGAAAGTGGAAAGAGTAGATGTCAACCTTCAGATAGATGACAGCTACTATGTTGATGTGGGGGGTGAGCAGAAACGCTGGCAATGTCCCATGTGTGAGAAGTCCTATACATCCAAGTACAATTTGGTCACCCATATCTTGGGTCACAGTGGCATCAAGCCACATGCTTGCACCCGGTGTGGCAAGCTTTTCAAGCAGCTGAGTCACTTGCACACGCATATGTTGACACACCAGGGCACTCGGCCACATAAGTGCCACGTATGCCACAAGGCTTTCACTCAAACCAGTCACCTTAAGAGACACATGATGCAACACAGTGACATCAAACCTTACAACTGCAGGATCTGTGGCAGGGGTTTTGCCTACCCCAGTGAGCTGAAAGCACATGAGTCTAAGCATGAGAGTGGACGAGAGAACATTTGTGTGGAGTGTGGTCTGGACTTTCCAACTCTGGCGCAGCTGAAGAGACACCTAACCACCCACCGTGGCCCCATACAGTACAATTGCACTGAGTGTGATAAGACCTTCCAGTACCCAAGTCAGCTGCAAAACCACATGATGAAGCACAAAGACATCCGCCCATACATCTGCACTGAATGTGGCATGGAGTTTGTGCAGCCCCACCACCTGAAGCAGCACTCCCTGACTCACAAGGTAAGCCAGCTCTCACCTTGCATCTGAAGGTAGTACGAGGATTATAGGCCATGAAAGATACACATAGGTAGCTACCTCCTCAGAAACGTGGTCTCTTGCCAGCAGCAGAGGCTTATGCAGAAACTCCAGCATTGCTGGCAGTTGTATCAACCAGATGTCTTTGTCAGCCTTAAGAAAGTACACTCAAACCCAACTTTGTTATAAGCAGGAATTAAATTAACCCCCCTGCATCACTTCCCCAATCTGGATTCATATCTCTCTGCTTCTTGGGTTTTTTTTTGGAATGACCTTCTGTAAAATTTTGCAGAGCTGTATAACCACTCCCCAAACCCTTAATTTTAAAAGATTTTTTTACTGAAAGTCAGTTCTGATACTTTGTTCCCTTAATTAGAAAGTGAGTGGGTTTGTAGTGGACTGTAGCAAAAAAAAATAAAAAGTATGTTATTACTCATCAGATTTTGAAGAATCATTATAGCGAGACATTTAAAAAAACAAAAGAACCCTACGAAAAATTCCCCTTTGTGCATATGTTATTCAGAATGCCAGTTAATAGAAATGGACAGGCAGGATTACAATAACAGCCAATTTATACCAAGTGGCAGTTTTGCCTCTGCTGACCATGGTGACAGCAGGGTCAGCTTAGGGTACGAGAAAGCTTTGGAGCTTTTCTGAAAAGACTGCTTTCAAAAATAGGAAAAATGCAATTGTTCCATTGAAGAAGCTCTGAAATTGACTATCCACTTTTACAAAAATAAAAAGACAAGTCAAAATCTTTCACTTTAAAAAAAGTTTGCTTCCAGATTTGGATATTTTTCCTTTACATTTGAATTTTGGCTTTTATATGAAAAATATTAGAAATACAGAAAGCTACACTGCTTGAGTCTTATAGTCACATATTCTTTGAAAACCAGACAACCTCTACTTTCACATTTGCTTTTTCTTCTACTTCATGTTTATAATTTCTGTTCTTTCTGGAGATTCCCTGGTCTTCGGATTAACCATGCAAGATTCCACTAATTGAAGACTTGGTAGTTTTTTTTTATCACAGGAAATGAAATACCCCTGAGCCCTTAGAGAGCTTCTGCTTGTTTGTCCACTGCCACAGGTGGATTCACTGTGAATATAATTTATACTACTTAGCTGACTAAATGCAGCCTCATATGAGATGAAGAGACACTTGAAACTGCTGGTGATGTTCAGTTTTAGCTTTGTAATTAACTGTGAAAACCACTGACAGTAATTTCATATCTTTTTAAAGAAGACCTGTGGAAGAAGTAATTGCTCTCAGAACCTCACTAGTAAATTCTTATTACCATCAGTAAGATAAACTCTTAAGCCTTATAGTGGCAAATTCTTTGATTTTCATAGTGTGTAAATCAGTCTTTAAGAAGCTGATAGACCATGTGAATGTGAGTAAGAATATTGAATTATGCAGTTGTAAATTGAGTGGATAGCATGAAAAGGAATAGAAATGTTCTATAAACCTCATATAAAATGAAATAATTCCATAATGGCCACTGAAAATCCTATCAAGAATAAGCAGTTTTTTTTCTTTGCAATAAATGTAAGATGCATAATCAATATTTTACTTAAGCAGGAGAGCAGGAGAGGGAAGCTCTGACACTGACTATGTCTGATTTATATGAAAACAGACTTCATTATTTCATTAAGCTTGCATTTTGTTTTACTTCTTGGCTTGTCAGAAGCTTGTAAGAATTTGTCAGAAGAAAATACCTTGAAAAATATTAAAAGTGAAATAATTTATTATCAGCTTTGCTAATGCAGAATGAATAATTCATAAGTTCCTGTACTGATGATTAAATTACCTAGAAAATTTTCCATCTACAGAATTTTTCTTTTCTTTCAGGGTGTGAAAGAGCACAAATGTGGAATTTGTGGACGGGAATTTACTCTGCTGGCCAACATGAAGAGACATGTCCTGATCCACACCAATATCAGAGCCTATCAATGCCATTTGTGTTTCAAGAGCTTTGTGCAAAAGCAGACTCTGAAGGCCCACATGATTGTTCACTCTGATGTCAAACCCTTTAAATGCAAGGTAAGTGCATTTGGTGGTAGAGGTATTAACCTAAAGTATATTTCTATGATATTATTATTATCTTATAATATGGTAGAATTAGAGAAACAAAACTTGCTAACACATACTACACTTGCATTCAAAAATTAACATAAACCAGTCTGATTTTCTTTCTTTATCCAGGTTTTGCTTATGTAGCACAAAATAAAGGAGATAAATACCTGTAATTTACTCCATTTCCCTTCAAGATCATTCATCATCACATAGTTTTGGTGGGTTTTTTTTGCCCTGTGATTGTTTAAGTGCCACAGACATTTGAAGACAATAAAAATATCTTACATTTGCTTAGTACAATGATCCAAACAAGTTTTAAGTGCTTAATAGCTTGAAACACTGACAAAAAGCAGAAATCAAGTCATGCACCCTGCAGAGGATCATGAAAAAGCAGCAGCCACAACTTCACACAGTGATGCTGTGTAACAGTTCAAGAAAGGAGTCAGAAAAAGCCACAGCAAAATAAAACTACGTAAGGGATTTGAATGGGTTGTGTATAATTACTGCAATTCAAGGAAGGATATCAATATGCTAACAAACCAGCTTCTGAGAGCACCTGGCCTTTCTACAATCCTATGCAAATTCCAGTTTGCCACTTTCCCCCAGCACCGGAGGCTGGCATTTCCTTTCCATCCTCACTTCTCCTCCCTCCCCATAAACCTTTAAGACTTTACTAACCCTATTTACTTTTAATATATTTTTTATGAATTATTAATCTGTATTCTTAAGCAGTATTGGATGCTACTTGAGTTATTTTGCTGCCTATCTGGTTCATTACTGTAGTCATACTCTGTGAAGTCAAAGGCGGTAGATTTTTTTTCCCACTTTAATTTGTTCTAAGATGGCTGCAAATACAGAGTGGAGCATATCACCCAATTTATGCATATGTAAAGACTGATTTGGAAGTAATTTCTAGAATGTTTTCATCCTACATCCTTATGGTATTGAATATTTTCTTAAAAGGAACTTCTCTTGAAGAAGCAGAGATGGATAAAAATTTTAAATGGAATTATTTTGTCTTGAAAAAATGTACAATTTCAAAATGTCATAGGAATACATGATATTCAGTGCTAATTTTATTAAGAAAATGTCAAAAGGAATCTTTCCGACTTCATCGTTTTTCTTTTTAACTTTTTAACTTTTGTGTGTGCAGTATGTGGATCCACATGGTTTTTTGGGTACGTGCAGAATAGCTGGAAGGTTGTGTTCAGCTCAGTGTTTGATGATGATAGACTATTGAAACTTGGAGAGGGCAATATTTGGAACTAGGAAATGGAGTGTCACCATTATGTTTTCCAGACAGTAACAAAAGCTCTACAGGAACACCTGTTTTTCTTATTTTTTTACTTTTCTGTCCCCACCCAGTGTTCCAAGGAGGAAAGAAACAAGTAAGCATAGTGAATCTGTTTCTCATATGTCTGAAGGAGTATGAATCAACATCAGTGCCCTGACAGTGAAGATTGCAACAATAAGCACAGGCAGATTCAGGAATTGCTTTTTGCATTAGGAACATCCTAACACTATCTCTCTGACAAAGCTCAAGAAGGCTCTTGAAAGAAAATATTTCTGGTTGGTACTTGGAGGGTTAAGGGAATGACCAGATAGCAGCCTTTTGGCACCAAGCTCCTCCTCAGCAGAAGGAAGGATATAGCTGTATGAACAGCCTGCTTAACAATGGCTCACATGTCCCTGGGGAACCGCCTGCAAATAGATTTCATCTTGCTTTCTCTTGTACTTTTCAAAGCTTCCTGTTTTCTCACGGTCCTTTTGGACAGTTTACAGTCATTCTCCCTCTCCTTCTTTCTTTGAGGAAAGGAACACCCTTCTTATGAAAAAAAAAAAGAAGAAGAAGAAGAATGCAGGGGAAAGAGAGCACAGCAGTAGCCTTTATACTTCACCACATGCAATGGTTTTCTTTACCTTTTTCTCACAGCAAAAGAAAACATGAGCTTTCCTATGTGTCTAATCGCAGCTAAGCACATACTATCAGAAGTGAGGGAGTAGCAAATAGTTGTCCCTCCTGTTTCCTCACCCAGCTGCAGCCTGGATCTCTGATTTTCTGCTGAAGAGTGAACTTGTCTGTAGCATTTAAAGGCCCATGTTGCCTTGTTTATTTCTGTTTTGGGAAAAAACCTGAAAAATTATGAAGGTATTCTAACAACAGGTGCAACAGTGCTAATTTGAATTCATAGGGAAAGGTTCCATGAAATCTACTGTTGCTTTTAGTGCTGAAGTAATCAATGTTTCAGACCTCCAATAAAGGATGCAATAGAATTTTCTTCAGTCCAGACAAATATCTGCAACAGTTGCTTTGAACACCACTTTTTTCCCCCCATCTAAGAATGTGTTTTTTTAAAAACAGGGATCAAAATCAAAGAAAATGTGTGAGAGAAGTACTTTTAGAAGAAACAAAACTGGTGACAAATCTAAAAAGACGATACATCATGTCCTGGCTTACAAGGAAATAATCTAGGGTTGAACTAATGTAGAGTATTCTAGCAAACTATACTGAAGTCCATTTCATCAGCCAGTGCAACTAAGTATGTTCAGCAGACTTGCAGCTCAGGTGTTCTCTTCAAGATTTTAATTTTATTTTTTTTAAACATTTTGTCTAACATTATTTTGTTAGACAGCCTAACAGAAATTCACAAGTAAACCATGTTGTTTCTGCTATGCAAAGTTTTCTTGCATAAACTTCTCATCTCCCTCAGTGCTATGGTGCACTGGGTTCTGCTGGATCTCCTCCCATACAACTGTCTCAGGGTCATCTTTCACTCTCTTCTCACAAGCCTGTCATGTCAGAGAGAAAGAATATCTTCTACAATCTTCTAGTTTGATCTGCAGACTCAAGCTCTTCGTTGAGCATTAGCTGTGTACACCAGCTAGATTTTAATTGCAGTCTTCCAGCATATGAGTGAGAAACCTACTTCCTTTTACCTCGGGATCATAGATAGTCATCTGAAAGGTGTCTTGTGCCTTTTTGAAATGTCCAGTAAAACAGAGATTATGCCACTGAGACCCATATCCTGAAAAACAATTTTCCTATCTGCATTTCTTTAATTTTCCTGCCACACCTCTGCACTCTAGTACCATTTCCTCATGTCCCCAGAGGAGATTTCAGGACAAGAACATGTGACATATCTCGAAGATGTGCCTGACTCTGGGAAATGGAAAACCCATCGACTTTATTCATACACAGAACTTCTGTGCTGTAAGGAACGATCCTTTAGAAAGTCCATGTCTTTTCAGTATGAAGAAAGAGAAAAAAATATTGCCTTGCCAGAAAGCAACTAAATGCTTCTCCTTGATAAATTTTAATACTCAGGACCTTATAAAGATAAGTGTTTGCATGCAGTGCTGAAGCCACTCATCTACCCAACCTGATTTTTCTTGGTTACCAGTTTAGAGAAGACTTAGCTACAGGAAAGCAAGTGCTGATGATAACATATGCCAGCCACAATATGAGCAGATAACCACAAGCCTCTCAGCAAAGAGGCATTAGAGAGATACTATTGTCGACATTCTTGTAGCAAGAGTCATATTGGCATGTTACAGATTGTTCCAGTGGCTATTAAGATACAATCAGCTGCTGTTACTCTTTGCAAATTTTCTGTGCTCATTTAGTGGTCTCAGTAGATGAGAGTGTTTTCTCTCATCACTTTCTGAGTTATTTTGTGGTTCTGTCATTTCTCTAAGTGTAAATAATCCTGCATATTAACTTTGTTTGAACATGAAGAAGACCATGTTCTTTCCTCAGTGGATGGATGACCCTTGGAAACAGCTATCTTAGTTTTTAAAATTAATTATTCACTTTCAGTGGCTATTTTTTTTTTCCACCAAATATCTTATCTAACCTTTACTGCTAAATTTATTTGCTGGAGTTTTCATTTTAGTAAAATCACAGACAGAAAACCATAAATGGTACATATGCAGCTGAAGAAAATAATTTTTTGAAAAGCAAGTGGATGTTTTCAGACTCTTTCTTTTTGCAGTACTTAGCTCTAATTTTTATTTTAAAACAGTAGTCCTGCTAATTTTCGTATTCATGAACTGATTCAATTTTCCCTCAAGAGAGGGCTTAAAACACAAAGCACACAGTACTTTTTTCCCAAGGATTCTTTCACTATCTACATTTAATTCAGATATTCCAAGTGATGACTTTCTGAATGTATATCTACAACTTCTGTATCAGTTTTTCTGTAATACACAAATAAGTAAAATTTGAATTCATATTCTACAAAAAAAAAAAAGTGGTGGAGTCTTAGTAATTTCTATTTATTAATTGTCTGCCAGATGGTTACCCTGCTAGATGAAGGTTTCCGTTTCAGTAATGGTGACTCTGGTTCATATAGTAATAAGAATAATTTTTAAAAATTAAAATCCAATGATAAAACAAGTCAGGAAAAAAAAAGTAGAATGCAAACACAGAAGTTTGCAGAGGATGGAAATAGCCACTTGCATGTGAATAAAAGTATAAATCCTGATAAGGAAAGACCAGAAGACAAGTAAGACTGGATGCCTGTAATAGTGATGTCAAACTCTCATGTCTTAAAAATACATGAGTCCAGACTACAAAAGGACTCATCTAAATAAACAACAATGAATAAACCCACCCTTATTGTTCCATCAAAGGAAAAATTGCACGATCAATGGCTTGAGCTGGCAGGAACATGCTTCAGGGAAAGCTGAGTCATTCTTGCAGCCTCATGACTGTTTAAATTGCAGCTCACCAGAGACACTGAAACACAGGAGTTGATAAACACATGATGAAAGAATCAGGGACAAAATGGGTAAGCAAGAAATACAGAAAAACAAGGAATTGTTTTTTCTAGCTTTATGCAAAATTCCATTTAAAAAGAAGTAATATTCTGCTTGACTGTTTCATAGAAACCCTTAATTGGTTTTATTTTATAATTCTATTCCTGCCTGACATTGTAGTTGATTAAAGGCTAGATGTATAAACTACAAATGGAATGGTTCACCAGGGCAGAAACTTTTACTTTGAATCTCATTCATGTTAAGAGTCTTCCAGATTACTCCTTTAAGTCTTTCCCCTCCTTACAACAAATTGACTGCTTTTGGGGAGTCCTGGGCAATGTGTGCTGGTCACCAGTATTTAAAGATGTCAGCAGTTCAGAGTGCCTTAGATCCTCAACCATATGTTTTTGCCTGTAGAATTTTTAATGGAACTTTGAAAAACACAATGCAGCCAAAACCAGCCAGAGTTGAAGTTGAGAAGTGTAGGTCCTCTTTCCTTTAAAAATGTTGTCTTTGAAAATACTGCTTCAAATGAATAACTTTCATTTTCACCATTTTTACAGCTGTGTGGAAAGGAGTTTAACAGAATGCACAATTTAATGGGACACATGCACTTGCACTCAGATAGTAAGCCATTTAAGTGCCTCTACTGTCCCAGCAAATTCACCTTGAAGGGGAACCTAACCAGGCATATGAAAGTCAAGCATGGGGTCATGGAAAGAGGATTTCACTCTCAAGGTAATAATTTTCAGCAAGATTATTCTCTGTGAGATCTGAATATGTGTATCAGTAAAAACAAATGGGCTTTGTACTACAGATTCACAAACCTGTGCCATGGGTACAATGTTATTGCAAGAGGTAGAATCTCATAAGCCTGTGAAGTTATTATTAGCTTGATTACTATAGCATTATATGGCAGTGTCACATGACCCAAATAAATAATGAATTAATCCTAAATTGACAGAAAAATAATATCTGGAACACTTATTGTCCTTTCTCACGGCTTATTGGATTCCAGTCTGGAACGGGGATGGAATCCTCAATGGGTTTACATCCAGGAGCCTTGTTCATTCTACACTGTATTGGCATAGCTGGTGTCACATGAGGGCCACAGGTTCAAGATCCCATTTACAAGGAAGCACATGAACAGGAGGGGATATTCATCAAAGTATAAGTCTCACAGTATATGGATTTTTGACTACCAAGGGCATCCTGCAAAACATTTCCTGTCTGTCGCCTACCACATATTCTTCCTGAAGTCATCCTCATGAGTGTAAATAGATCAATGCAGTCAAAAGTAGTGGGGGAATTAGGGAGAATTTTTTGAGGGCTTGGGAATCCAGGATACATTTTTTAAGATTTTTCAGATAAATAATTCTTTATTGAACAAGATTTCTTGGCACTCTCATATATTCAAATTTTAGGGCAGCTTAGCACATGTGTAAAACACTTACCATAATGACATCTGGTGTAAAGTTTATGAAGAGCCTAATGGCTAATTAAATAAGTATTTTTCTGTAAATCTATAGCATCATGCTTGTTAGACAATTGCTCATAGTTGGAGATTGCCTAAGAGCTTTTCATTGTACAGAGATTCTGTGGCCCTTGAGGCTTATCAGATATGAGAAAATTTGTGTGGCCTGATGCCTGTTCATGAATCCTTTTAATAAATATGCCTTGCTGCAAAATAACATCTGCATAGATCCTTCAGAAACTGGATTCAATTACTGAGAGGAAAACAAAAAACAAAGAAAACGAAAGCAGGTAAAATAGTGACTTTCACACCTATTTGCTACTGGATGAAATCCTCACCTTGTATTGTCACTAGTTTTTAATGAAGCTGGCCTCTGCCTGCAGTGTCTGAATTTTTAAAATATATCCTGATGACGTTCAGAGCATATTTGAGTCCACAGATGCCTCTTGGATAATTTGTATTTCCAGCAAGAGAGAGGACAGTGACAAATACTAAGACAAACCAAATCCAGGATTAGATGCATATTCATATATACTGCTCAAAATTGCCATTTTTCAATAATGATTTCCCCAAACTGAAGCACTGTCTAGTGCATAGAGCTTTTCAGTTGATTGTTTCTCAGTGGATGAAAGTGGGAAAATGAAGGAGAGTTACAGACTTCTGTAGCTGTTGTCTTTTCATTTTTAAAGTATTAACTTTGAACCACGCTGTCTATAGAACAAATAAATTCCCATGTTTTTAGTCTCTTCTACTCCTCTGAAATATAAGATACAAAATCTGGGACTTAGATTATGGTCTGTGGTGCTTTAGATCCAAGTTTTATTTTAGAAAAAGAATAGAAAGGAGGAAGAGAATAGGTTGATTGGCAAAATTCAGTTTACAAAAGGCCAGACCATTTCATTTTTCTTCCCAGCTGCATCATCCAGAGTCTGGCTGTATAAAACAATGTTTTGTGTGTCCTAACCTGGCTGTGAAGTGTATACAATAGTACTTCTTTTTGCAGCATCTCGAAGGAGATGCCATGAAATGTAAACAGTGAAGTACTTGGAGATAGCTGGATGGAAGACAAAGGTAAAAAATTAAATACAAAGACACATTAGATTTTGTTTTTTAGCCATGTATCATGTAGTAAAATTTCCTATATATAATTTTTTCCTTTTCTCCTTCCCTCAAATCACTAAAAGGTTTTGGAAGAGGAAGGATTGCTCTGTCCCAGACAAATGTCTTGAGAAGCTTGGAACAGGAAGAGCCATTTGATCTTTCCCAGAAAAGCCAAGGGAAGGGAATCTCATTTCATTCTGATGGTGAGAGTGCCAAGGGAAGCTCATGCCAGGAAGAAGAGGAAGACAGCTGCTATGAGGCAAAGCAATACAGCCCTGCCCCGTACCATCATGATGACAGCAAGCTGTACGTGGCTCAAGACCTCTCTGGCAAATCTGAGTGCATGATGAAGGACTTCAGAGAGTCCTACTGCAATGAGAAGGAAGAGGTGTTAAGTGAGGGAGGACTGGGGAAGAGAATAGGAAATTCAGACAAAGAGGAGAGATGTGGAGAGGGAGAGCTTGCAAACAACAAAGAACATCTCAGCTTTAGATCCTTTGAAAAGGCCAGACTTGGTCACTCTCTCTCTGATTACTTGTATTTCAAGCACAGGAACAAGAGTTTGAAAGAATTGCTGGAAAGAAAAATGGAAAAACAAACAATGCTTATAGGCATTTAAAATGGACATTTTGAAACAGCTGGAAAATGGTAACCAGATAGATTTTAACATGAATTGTAAGCTACTAAAGCCTGGAAGTCTGTAGTAGTATTTAGAAATAAATAAGTCAAATTATTAAAAATAATTTAGGGTAAAAAAATAATATAGGGTAACTGCAAGAATAAAGCAGCTTGAGGTCACCAAGAAAGGCAATAGATATTGAAAAATAACACTTTTATATTTATCCATTTAATGTATAACAGACAATGGGTTGGGTACAGAAGTTTACTTCCTATAATATGGGGATAGATACTTACATTCAATTTTCTACTTAGCAGAAAGCAACATACTTTAGCATCTGATTTATTATCTGACTAAATGTATATGAACACTTCTAACCATATGCCTCAAAAATATCTGAAAATACAAAGTATTTTACATTATAAACCAGAGTACTATTAAACATGGCATGCATGAAAATGCTGTCAACATTCAGAACTAACACAGTCCAAATAATTTGATTTACTTAAGTGACTCTTAGTGCAACCACTTACAATGAGAAATGTGAAACAAAATAATAAGAAAAACTAAAGTCTTGGGAGACAGTAAAGGACAGTTCTGTAAGGCTTTGAAGGGACTGGAATTTATTACAAAAGCTAGTTCTCTGGCACAAGGAATGTTAGTACTTTGCTGTGTTTCAGCCAGTACAGGAGTGTTCAGAAATTCTTGAAGTGAAATAGCATAGATTGTGTTGGCATTTTGTTCTACTGCCTGCCTAGACCAATACATGTACTGGGCAGCATCAGCATGCAGCATTCACAGTCTTGCCATAGTTACACATAACACAGTATGAGTCATTTAATTGAAAAAATAATGCAGCTTTGCCATTTATCTCTTCAGTTTATCATGACTAGTAAGGATAATTTTGGAATACACTGATCTGGTCAATTTTTGTTTCAGAAGGTAAAAATCACCCTTATAGAACAAGCAGTACCTCACAGAGAAAAACCTTCCTCTTATTAAAGTCAGAAAATTTCTCTTATTAAGCATTTCTTGAGCAGTAAGCTGCAGGACTTTCAGACAAATTTCACCCATGCTGTTTTTATGGAGTCATACTCAGCTTTTCATTCTCTGATTCCCATAAGTTTATAACAAAAATGGGAAAAGCATATTCCATTAAACTTTTCATTAATTGCATGAATACTTTGAACAGCATATTAGTTCCTGTATCTTCAAGAAAGATGAAAAGCAGCCCTGCATCATCCTATTCTTACATGGAAATAAAAATCTAATTAATCATAAAATCTGTCCTATGTCCTTTGGACATCCCAGCTCAAAAGGTTAAAATCCTTATATTTGGTACATCTCCTCCAAATATTACTACCTTCTTCACTTACCTGCCAAGTTCTTGAGTTGAAATGCAGTGCAATCATGCTGTCTATATAGGGAGTTATAATTAAATATAGTTATCTACTTTTATGGCTTGCTGAGGCAAGTCATATAGCTGCAGCTTTCTGCCCCTACAAGAAAACACACCTCTCAAATTAATGATTCTCATGCCTACCAATTAGGCAGCATTCACAGGGCAAAGTCCTTACTCCTCATATAAAACTGGTTTTGTGTAGTCCAAGGCTACAGGCAGTGTTTTCCTTTTTCAAGGCTCAAACATGGTATAACATATGCAGAAGTTCATGCAGAAAAAGCTGTTGATATAAGAAAGAGTAACATCAGGTGACTCTTCTAAATTAATTCAATGTCTGATGTGCATGTTTTTAAAAATAAAATTGTTATGCCAAATTGAACTGGAAGGTAGATCACTTCAGAATTTAAAAAGTCTTTGAGGTGTATTTTAGAGGTACATGGCCATGTTTCTTCAGGGATTAACTGTTCTATCGTAAACATTCCTCTTCCTTGCTTTAGCTGTTAGGTGATGCCTACTGAAAAAGGAGCCATCTTTCTTTCAAGGAAGACATTGTGATCAAGTAAAAAAGTTAGGAAATTTTTAGAATAATGAGTGTAACTGTATTATTTCTTAGACTGTAGGGGAAAAGATCAGGTAGAAATTCAGCATGGTCTAGTAGATGGTCCCTCAGAAATGGGAGCAACTCCTTCAGTTAACTTCTTGGCACTAGCTTGTCTCTGCCAGACAAAAGCTCCTATTTGAGCATGTATACAGCCAAGAGCTGGGAGTTGCTAACTCTTAGAATTGTCTCCCTCTTGGTGGTGTAGTTTCCAGCTGTGCATGGTTCAATATCACTCCACTCCACCTTTCCAGATATATTATTTCACATGATAAGAAAAACAAGCAAGGATTCAGGGATCTCTTCTCAGTTTCTAGAATGTCAATCATGCAGGTGAGTGGAATTTAGGAAGTCTTTCACTCCTGTGATGTGTAAAGCAGGAAAGTACTTCCATTGCAAAGTTTTGTTTATTAATTGGAGTGTGCTATGGGACAGACAGTCCTTACCAAGAAAGAAACAAAAACATTACATATCAATTGCAGTCCAGACAAATGGAGCAAAGGAGATGTTTTCAGCAGAGTTTAGCTCCCAGCACTAATATCAAAGGATGTATTCCATCTGGGCTTCAGCAAAGCCTTTGATACTATCTCCCATGGCATTCTCCTTGAAAAGCTGGCAGCTCAAGGCTTGGGTGGATGAACTCTTCACTTGGGTAAAAATGTG